ATTTTCAACAAGAATGCCAAACATTTCAGTGAGAGAAATAATAGTCTTTTAATCTATTTGTTCTGTGATAAGTGGATGTCCACATTCAAAAGAAAAGCTTTTGACCCCACTTTATACCATATATAAAATTTAACTGATAGCCAGGCATGGTGGCACATGCCTGTAGTTCCAGCTACTTTGTCGACTGAAGCGGAAGGATCACCTGAGTCCATTAGGTCGAGGTTGCAGTGGCCGTGAGCATGCTAACTGCACTCCAGCCTGGGCAACAGAGTGAGACTCCAACTCAAAAAGAAAAAAAAGATTAACTGAAAACTCCAAGAGGGCCTAAATGTAAGGGCTAAAACTATAAAAGTCTTAGAAGACAACACAGATGTAAATCGTTGTGACCTTGGATTTGTCAGTGGTTTTGGGTTTTTTGGTTTTGTTTAGAGACAGGATCGCACTCTATCATCCACGCTGGAGTTCAATAGCATAATCACAGCTCACTGCAGCTTCAAACTGCTAGACTCAAGTGATCCTCCTGCCTCAGCCTCCCAAGTAGCTGGGCCTATACCTTTCTTTCTTTCTTTTTTGTTTTTTTTTTTTTGAGTTGGAGTCTCACTCTGTTGCCCAGACTGGAGTGCAGAGGCACGCTCACGGCTACTGCAGCCTTGACCTGCTAGACTCAAGTGATCCTTCCACCTCAGCCTTCCAAGTAGCTGGAACTGCAGGCACGTGCTACCATGCCCGGCTAATTTTTGATTTATTGTAGAGATGAGGTCTCACCAAGTTGCCCAGGTGGGTCTCGAACCCGCAGGCTCAGGCAATCCACTCACCTCAGCCTCCCAAGGTGCGGGATTACAGGCTGAGCCACTGAGCCCAGCTTATTTGAGTTATTGATGATAGCCATTCTGACTGGAGTTAGGTGGTATCACAGTGTGGTTTTAATTGGCATCTCCTTGATGACTTGTGAGGCTGAACATTTTTTTCATGTGTCTGTTGGCTGCTCGTATGTCTTCTTTTGTGAACTGCCTATTTATATCTTTGCCCACTTTGTAATGGGGTTGTTTGTTTTTTCTTTTCAGCACATTTGAGTTCGTTGTAGATCCTAGATGTTAGGGCTTTGTCAGACATAAAGTTGGCAAATATTTTTTTTCCAGTCTGTGGGCTGCCTCCCTGCTCTCTTGATGGTTTCTTTGGCTTTGTAGAAGCTTCTCAGTTTCTTAAGGTTTGGGCATGGATCCGTGTGTCTGTAGTTCCAGGTTCTTGAAAGGCTGAAGGGGAAGGATCACTTCAGCCCAGCAGGTTGAGACTGCAGTGGCCATGAATGTCCTACTGCATTCCAGTCTGGGCAACAAGAGTGAGACTCCAACTATGGTTCCAGCTTCCTGGAAGACTAAGGTGGTAAGGTTGCCTGATCTCAGCATGTCCAGGCTACAGACGCCATGAGTGTGCCATTTCCGTTCAGCCTGGGCAACAGTGAGACTCCATCACCCGCCTTCCAGGTGTCCCGGCATCCTCCCCATGGACTCCCAGGACCTGAAAGTCACAGGGCAACAGAGGCTGCAGCAGAGAGGGCGACAGAGGCTGCAGCAGAGACAACGCAAGACACCTGGAGAGCAGGACAGAGCAGTGGCGACAACTGAAAGTGGCTTTTTTTTTTTTGAGTTGGAGTCTCACTCTGTCACTCAGACTGGAGTGCAGTGGCTGTGCAGTGGCCATGCAGTGGAGTGCAGTGGGTTGTGTAGAATACACTGCCAGTCTTTTGTCTTTTATCTTTTATTTACCCGTAGTTTCTTCTGATAGCCAGCTGAAAGCACTGGAGAGGCATACCTCAGACCAGGCTTTGGACTGATTTCTCAGTGCTCCATTAAAAGAATCCATCTTTGGCTGGGCTCAGTGGCTCAGCCTTTAGGATGCTGAAGCGAGTGGATTGTCCGAGCCCACAGGTTCAAGACCAGCCCAAGCAATTTGGCGAGAGCTCATCTCTACAATAAATTTTTAAAAATTAGCTAGGCATTGTGGTGCGCCTGTAGTTCCAGCTACTTGGAAGGCTGAGGCAGAAGGATCTCTGAAGCCCAGCAGGTTGACACTGGGCTGGCCGTGAATGTGCCACTGCACTCCAGCCTGAGTGACAGAGTGATACTCCAACTCAAAAAAAAAAAAAAAAAGAATTGGTCCCCAAATTCCCCCTTTCCACTCCAAAGAAGGATCTTTTCCTAGAGGAAAATCAGAAGTTGCAGAAGACTCAAGTCCCATGAATCTGAGGCCTTTGAGCGGTTTACTGAGAAATGTGAGCCACAAGAAAGAAGCGCTTCAGAAAGCAATAGAAGAACTTCATTAAAATTCCAGAGGAGAAACTGACCCACAAGATGGAAGCTAACACAGAGAAGTGATAGGCACAAGTGTCTTCTGAATTGGAATATTTGCGAGAGAAGGCTAAGCGAAGAAATGCAAAAGAACAAAGAATCCAAAGATTCTGCTGATGAGACTGAAGCTGACTAATTTGTTCTGAGAACAGGTTTTTCCCCCTCCTCTTCCTAAATATCCACTGTAATGGCCAGTGTTATTTTATTTTTTCTCTCCTGACAAATATTCTAGAAGCTGATGCAGAACAGTATAGGTAGATCCAGAATGTAAAATGTTTTGGGGGGTAAATGGCAGAAACTAAAAGTGTTTTTTTTAAAAGTGTTAGTCTTTCTAATGTAGCTATTTTTCTTACTATATCTTTTCTACTTTAGGACACTTGGTATACTGGGTTCATAGCTAGTATTGAATTGGCCCAGTGGAAACATACTTGTGAAAGAGCATACAGTTGTTTCTTCTGAAATGATGCTGAATATATGTTCACTTTTCTTTTCTTTTCTTTTTTTTGAGTTGGAGTCACTCCATTGCCCAGGCTGGAGTGCAGTGGCAGGCTCAGGGCCATCCCAGCATTGCTTGGCTCCAGCGATCCTTCTGCCTCAGTCTTCCTAGTAGCCGTAAATACAGGTGCAAGCTACCACGCTGGGCTAATTTTTTATTTGTTGTTGAGACATGGTCTCGCCAAGTAGCCCATGCTGGTCTCGAATCTGTGGGCTCAGGCAATCCACTCGCCTCAGCCTCCCAAGGTGCTGGGATTACAGGCTGAGCCACCGATCCCGGCTCTGTTCACTTTTCTATTTCAATTCTGTCCTAATCTTACCAGATGCTACTAGACTTGAATGATTAATAAAACTGCATAGTGTTGATGGTACAGTGACTTCTTTCTATTCACGTAATAAATTATCAAGCTTGAAGACCCTTCTAGTTTATATTTGTTCCAGATGGGATCTTTGAGCTGGTGGAAATATATAGCACACACATTAGTACAAGTTATCTGCCCTCAAGTATCTTGTTCTGTAGCAGGAAAAATAGAGAGGGCGTGACACCGAGACTATTATAGGAAGTGGCAACTTTATTACGCCGGCGGGCTCAACAGGCTAACACATCCAGGTCAAGCCCCCCAGAAGGGCAGAAGCGGAGTCTTATACCTTCATTGAGGTGTAAGGGAGGGGATCGTATTGAGTGATTACACATCTTCTTTGGAATTTACAAGATTGAGTTCAGAAACATCAGATTTTTCAAAGAACAAAAGGTCTCTCAGGAAATGTGGGTGAGCCGGGGATATAACTGATAAGGAGAGCAGTTGTGAATTAGGTACTCTTTCTTCTGTATTTCCATGAGAGCCTTCAGTCTCTGGCCATTTGGCTTTTTTCAAACAAGACCGGCCTGGCGGGTCTTTAAAGCTTGCTGCTTGACTTTCAAATAGAAATACCTTTAACTGCTACCAGCCCCTTTTCTGCCACAGGGTTAGTAAGAGACAATCTGTCATCCCAAGTGATTGCCATGGGGCCAACTGCTGACTCCAAAGCAGTTATTCATGTGTTTCTACGTTCATTCACTCAATCATACAAGAAATATATTTGAGCATTTGCCACATTCTGCCACATTTCTGGGGTTGTTTGCATTGTCTTCTTCCATAATCATTGGTTTGTTTTGATGCCTTTGCCCAGATCAGCTGTTACTATATTCTTGCAGATGTTTATTTGCAAACACGAATTTTTGTGTTCTGTGTCTCTCTCTTTTATTTTATTTTATTTTTTTAGAAGTTAATTTATTATTCACCTTCCACATATTGGAATGGGGCCCAACTGGGCTGGTGGCTCAGCCTGTAATCCTAGCACTTTGGGTTAGGGTTAGGGTTAGGGTTGCAGTATATGTGGGGATATTTGTAGACAAATTAAAGAAGACATATTATTTGTCTGTTTAAAGTATGAGTTTTTCCAGTGGCTAGAGTTTCAGCCACAGATTGAGATAATGTTGGTCATACGGGTTGTGGTTGTTGACTGCTCCAGTAACTCCACTTCATGCATATACAATCCCAGCACTGAGTATGGTATCTTAATGATTTGTACTATTTGAGCAATCTTTGTGGTTATAGTTCTTTTTCTAGTGACTTTATTACCCACATAATTTTAAAATTTTTTTTAAAGGCGGTTTTTGACAAATTCTCTTGGGTTTTCGACCCACATAATTTTAAAGAAAAGTAGTGAAAATACACTTGTATACCTAATCCTGAATTGTACCCCACATCTTTGAAATAGAATAAAATAAAAGTAGTGAAAATTTTTCTGGATTAACAAATAAAATTCTTCAATTAGCATGACCCAGTTTAATGTTTGTTTAGGAATATGTGACTGAAATCTTGGTGTTAACTGTGGCTTAGAAATTAGAGAGATTGACTTAGGAAACACACCCTTTTTGGTCATTTTAAATGCATTTTGATAAGTGAGGAATGCTGAGAAAAAATGTAGAGAAAGAGCATCCTGTCCATAACTTAACACAGACTAGGCTTTTGAATATTACCAAACTGAACTTAATATAGCATTAATATAAGATGTATGCACTTTTGAAGAAGGGGGCTACATGCTGACAAACAGCATTAAGTTGGGAATCAGTACAGAAACAGTGTAATTTACTATATTCTATTTGTGTTTCAGATGCCTTTGGTGCTTCATGAAGAATATTTCCAGATACATCACAGACATTAAGCCTTTGCCTCCCAACATAAAAGATAGACTGATTAAAATAATGAGCATGCAGGGACGGATAACAGATTCAAATATAAGTGAGGTAAGAGTGTATGTAACTAAGGCAAGCATATTGCATTTTACTGTATAGATATGGTTTTAGATTTTTGGAACAATGATGTATGATAGAATTGGTAATCATGTTAAAATATTATAAAGCATCAGGGTTCTCTTTCCCCTCAGATAACCAAAATGTCCATATGTAATAGTTTCTAAAAAATCTTCTGTGATTGTCTCAGTCTCTTCTTGTATCAACCGAAGAGTCTCATAGAAAATGAAAATGCAAGCAAAATGGTGTCTTGGTGGTTTTAGAATAACAAGTCAATGTTAAACCCGAGACTCTAATCAGAGAGAGAGAGAGAGACCACAAAGAGCCAGCTCCGATGCAAACACACGAGGGTCTTTATTCAAACTCGAGTCTGGGCTCACGCATGAAGCCCATAGAGGCTTCATGGACCAGAGCCCCGATCCACAATGGCAAGCAGTTTTTATGCACAATTACAGAGGGAGGGGAAAGAACTTTAAACTTGATTTTACATGATTGGGTAATTTCTCCTAATGAGTACGGGAACACTTGGTATTGGTTGGTGCCTTTCGTGGCTGTAACCTGACTGCCCGTGATTGACAGAAACCCACTCAACGGGCAGAGTGGAATGTCAGATAAGTTAGGTCCATACAGTCAGCGTATAAAGTAACCTGAGCAGGCAGGTAAAGGGTTACATTAGCTCTTTAAGTTTGCTGATCCACCCCAAGGTGTGCTTAGGAAAGCTTGTTTGCTTAACATTTACATAACATAACATGGTCATTATGGGACAACAAAAGCCAAACTTAACGAAGTTTTAAATATGAATGCTGCAAACACATACAGTGAATGTGGGGTAGAAATTCATATAGTACTAATTCTGGGAATTTATAAAATATCACAAACGTCTTATAGCAAGGCGGTTTTTGTAAAAGTCTTTGATCCCTTCAGGTTTACATAGCCACTGCGTGTAAATTAACACTGGCATGGAAGCAGGTGATTTAAATCAATATAAAGCCCACCTAGAGAGCAGCTAGTGCCTCAGAGTCTACTGATAGGAAAGGTATGTCTGAAAGGAACTTATCGCTTTAACTTTTACATCCCGTTGTAAAAGCAGGAGTCAGTATGGCAAATAGGACTGACAATGCTTAACCTAAGAGTTCTAAATACAAACACCACTTAAAACATTTTATATAACTACACAATCAGTCACGACATATGCCTAATTCTACGGGGTCTGAGGTAGGATTTAAAGTACTAAGATTTCATAAAGTACAATGAACATGAGGTAGGAATACACAAAACATATAGTAAACATGAGATAGGGATATATGAAATATAGTGAACTAAACACTACTTTTACAGGAAGTATGGCTTTTTAAGTTTCTTGATTTCTTGGGTCTCTCAATAGCATGTTCTTAACCTAAGTCTATTATTGTCCTCTCAGTCAAGGAGCATAGTTTCTGGATGCATCTGAAATTATGAAATCATGTCCTGGCCAGGCTCAGTGGCTTAGCCTGTAATCCCAGCACTTGGGAAGGCCGAGGCGAGTGTATTGCCTGAGCCCGCAGGTTCGAGACCCACCCAGGCAACTTGGTGAGACCTCATCTCTACAATAAATCAAAAATTAGCCAGATGTGGTAGAGCGTACCTATAGTTCTGGCTACTTGGAAGGCTGAGACAGAAGGATCGCCAGAGCCCACCAGGTCGAGGTTGCCGTGGCCGGGAGCATGCCACTGCACTCCAGTCTGAGTGACAGCATGCGACTCCAACTCAAAAAAAAAAATAGCTGGATGTGGTAGCCTGCACCTGTAGTTCCAGCTACTTGGAAAGCTGAGGTGGAGGGATCGCGGGAACCCAGCAGGTTGACACTGGGGTGCTGTGAGCATGCTACAGCACTCCAGCCTGGGTGACAGAGTGAGACTCCAACTCAAAAAAAAAAAAAAAAGGAAGAAAGAAAGAAAGAAATCATGTCCTAACTAGCTATTTTGGGATAAGGACTTTTTAAAGAAATATGAGGAAGTTAGTGCTTATTAGTTCATTTATAACCTGGCATTTTTGATTGGTGGGAAAGGATTCCCATAATAGTTAATTAGTTAGAGTAAGAGTTTCTTTCTTTTTCTTTTCTTTTGTCAGGGTCTCACTCCATTGCCCAGGCTGGAGTGCAGTGGCGTGATCATGGCTCACTGCATTCTTGACCTCGTGGGCTCAGGTGATCCTTCTGCCTCACGCTCCCACCCCCACCCCAGTAGCTAGGGCTAGAGGTGGGTGCAGTCACTCCCAGCTAATTTTTTTATTTTTTGTAGAGACGAACGAACCCTTGCTATGTTGCCCAGGCTATTCTTGAATCCTGGGTTCGGGTATTCGTCTCACCTCGGTTTCCCAAATTTCTGGAATTATAGGCGTGAGCCACCACATCTGACTTAGAGCACTTGTTTTAGATAAAAATCCTTGATTTGGGGATTTGGTAAAAGTTCAGTCATCAGCACAGTCTTTTCATAAATGGCATCAATTTTGTCTGCAGCATCACAAGTACACTCTGTGGTCAAGCAGCTAGAAAATGACATTCAGAACAAAATGGTGCTGCTCTGGTCAGCTCCCATTAGTCTTCCATCTACACTCATCTCCATGTTTTCAAAAGCTTAAAACTTTTTGATCAAGACTCACAATATTCTTACATGTTATATCATAACTCCAGTACACAAACCACACTTACGTATAACAATACTGTGTGCAGTACACTTTGGTATTTTCTATTTTATTTTATTCTATTTCGTCTTATTTTATTTAAAAAATACTAATCACATCCTCCTAAACTGATTTTGTAATCATTCATGGGTTACAACCAGCAGTTAGAAATCACTCTTCTAAACTACAGTACTCCCATTCTTCTGGATAACTCATTCCTTTCTGCCAATTTGTATTTACTCTCCTTCCCTACAGCCAAGCTAACCTTGTTCAGGACACCTGTGCCTTTCATTGGCTTTTCCATAAGGCAGTAAGTGTAGTGAGGGCCTCCAACACGAATTAAAATTCCAGCTTTACCACTCCTTCTGACCTGGAGCCTTAGTTCTCCGAACTGTAAAATGGGAGGTGAAAGTAACCACTTGCAGGCGTTATATGAGGACTATTTCAAAGTGACTAATGTGTTGCTTGAAACTTAAAGCATAACTGGGCAGTAGTAGGAACTTAGGTCCTTAACTCAAGAGCTGGTGGGAAGCTGGGCTAACAGAAGGGAGGTGGCCTAATGTTGAGAGTCTATCATTAGAAGCAATGAAAAGCTGATTATTTTCTTTCTTGATTGAAAGAGAAGGTTCATACTTTTTACATTTACTGAATTATTTGCTATATTAACTTTGTGGCAGTCAGTTTGTGTGAAAACTACCCTTTTGCTCTACTCTTTTAATGTGTGAAAGCATTATTCTAAAAATGTTAAAAACATAATTCTTACACAAATAGTAAACATGTGCCAAAGTTTTAAATAACTCATTAATAAGAAAACCAGCAGGAATGCAAAACTAGTTGAAAAAAGTATTCAAGAAACTGAAATCTGTTTATCTACATATACATGTGCGCGAAAACAAAGCAAGAAGTTTACTAAATTAGATACAAAATTGGATAATGTTTTACAGGATAATAAAACCAACTACTAAGGCTGTTTTTTCTACTGAACAGAAATCTTTGCATCTTTATGAGAGAAATACATTTGCATTTTATCAGTTATCTACAAGTTAACATCTCACTTCACAGTATTATAATCAGGGTATTTGCTTTAATTAATAGTAAATATGAGATCAAACAACATTAATTTTTCATTACTTGGTGTTTTGGGTTGAATTGTGCCCCCTTCTAAAATATGTTGAAGTTCAAACCTTCGGTATCTCAGAACGTGACCTTATTTTGAAAAAGGGTCATTGCAGATGTAATTTGTTATGGTGAGGTCCTCCTGAAATAGAATGGGCCCCTAATCTAATAGGACTGATATCCATATAAGAGGACTACAAGATGACACAGAGATACTAGGGGAACACCATATGGAGATGGAGACAAGATTGGAGGGGACGCGTCAACAAGCCAAGGCACACCATGGGTTGCCTGTCGTTACCAGAGCTAAGATAGTGGCTTGGAACAAATCCTCTCTGAGCCTCCAGAACCTACCCTGCCAACCCCTTGATTTCAGACTTCTAGCCTCCACAACTTGAGAAAATAAATTTCTATTGTTTTAAGCCACCCACTTGATGGTACTTTACATGGCAACCCTCATAAACTTATACAGGTAGGCTTCTTAGACAGTGCTATGGCTTGATATTAAAAGTAGTGTAATCTTTTCTTACTGACTTATTTCCAAGTTTTGTAGGATTTTTCTTTTTCTTTTTTTTTTTTTGAGTTAGAGTCTCACTCTGTCGCCCAGACTGGAGTGCAGTGGCACGCTCCCGGCCACCGCAGCATCGACCTGCTGGGCTCCGGTGATCCTCCTGCCTCAGCCTTCCAAATAGCTGGACCTACAGGTGCACACCACCATGTCTGGCTAATTTTTGATTTATTGTAGAGACGAGGTCTTGCCAAGTTGCCTGGGCGGGTCTCGAACCTGCGGGCTCAGGCAGTCCTTTCCCCTCGGCCTCCCAAAGTGCTGGGATTACAAGCTGAGCCACCGAGCCTGGCTGGATTTTTCTTAAGTACTTGAAATGAACTGAGAATATATTTTTCAGCCCTTGGTCACATAATGAAAAATTATTATAATTCAGTTTTTCAGTATGTATGCTATCTTATCTGTGTTTAAACAAAACAGGAAGGGAGGAGAAATTAGCACACTTCTTGATTTAAAAAAAAATTTATTTCTTGATTAACAAAAATAAAAATGAGGGGCTCTTTGTTGTTATTGCTAGTTATCATATTGATGTTCAAAAATTTTGACAAGCAAGCAAAATAATTTTGTCCATGAAAGTGAATATATGGCCAGGCATGGTGGCTCAGCCTGTAATCCCAGCACTTTGGGAGGCCGAAGCAAGAGGATTGCCTGA